CTGTGTGTTACTTGCACCCTGATGAGGTAAAATTCCTGAAAGCCACATGGCACCGAGGTGCAGAGGACATTGGTGTCACCAGATGGAGAGAAGATGTGCATTTCCTGCCCTGAGCCTTCTTACAGAGCAGAGCAGAGGGTGACTGCTGTGCCTGCAGGGCAGGAGCTCTTCACGTGGACAGAGAGACAACAGGAGTGCTGAAGCTGTCACTGTAGTGGGAGGCTGAATACTTTTCTTTCTCTGAAGAAGGGAAATGAGGAGAGAATTTGTGTTCTGGTTTTTATTTCCTCTTTGCTTCCACCCCTCCACCCCCCACCCCAACCTCAATAATCATCCTGGATCTTGTAATACACAGGAATTCCTTGGTTTTGTGTAGATTGAGTGTCTGAGGAGAAGTCAGGTGGTTCTGGAGTTCTTTCCACCCTCTCCAAACACTTACAGGGACTGCCTGGGTCTGCATAGAGCTGAGCTTTGATGTTGCTGGACAACCACAGCTCATCCTTGCTACTCACTGTTGGTGGGGCAAGCTAAAAGCTGTGCTCTGACTAATTCCATCAGCTGTGGCTTGGAGCAGGTTGTAGATGAAGAAAGCAGCTGTGCAGCAGTGGTGTGAGGGCTGACATACAGAGGTTTCCATTGCCATTTATGAGCAGAGCTCGTTCCTTTCCCAGAAGAACTGCAGGTGACCTTTTAATAAGTCTGCTTTAAAGGGTCTTACTGAGTTCTGTGAGCGTGCACAGGTTTATTTGTCTGTCCTGTTCTCTTCCAGAGCCTTGCACGTGCACCCAAACCAACCAGCAGCATGCAGGAACGAGCCCACTTGGAAGCTGGCAAAGCTTTTCTGCCTGCCAAGAGCCAAATCCCAGCTTTCTTGGGATGCTGTGGAATTTCTAAGGCAGATCTCTGCTGCCTGGCAAGGGCTGATTTGTGTCACGTGCGCCGTGGCATCAGCAGAGAAGCAGAAGTGTCAGCAGCTGCAGGATTTCTGTCAATCTTTCATGTCATTGGTTTCTTGAATAAAGAACAACATTTGCACATCAAATGAGTCCAACTGACAGAGTCAGGATTTCACTAGATCCAGTCAGAGGGAAACTTTGATGAAGTGGTTAATTGTACCCAGGGATAGCTGCAAAAGTAGTTTTTCATCAAGAGGTTACAGCAGAACTGGGATTATTAAAGAATGGTGCTGATTTGTGGACTGAGGAACAATAAATTATTATCTTCATTCAGATTTAATCCTCAACATTCATCCCCTCTATATTTATTTTTGCAGTGTCTTTTATATTATTATTAAATATATGGAACACAACAGGATTGTATGATACATGCTGCTTCTGATTTTCTAAAGTTTGAACTGAAAAGATGGAAATCAGCTTAGATTGAAGATTTTCTAGCTCTTCTCACTTAAATGAAGAAATCATTCTCCTGATCCTGAAAAAAATATTTAGTTTAATTCAGGGCTATTGTTGCATGTGTTAACCACTATAAAGAACAGAATTGAAATAAAATTCAGCTTAGTGTTTGACTCTGTAATATTTGAGCCATTCAAAAAATCTTCAAGAGTTTATTCTGGAAAACACAGGGCAGAATTAGGAACAAGAAACATTTACCAAATTTAAAAGTAGTTACTTTTTTTGAAACTGTCATTCTTTTTTTTGTAATTTATTAAGTGCTGCATTCCTTAAAAAATTCAGGAAACTCCAGTGCCCAAAGCCTCCAAGCAGGATTTCGAGTCCAGTGTGCTGAACAAACAGCATGAAAAAATAGAAAGGGCAGACAGTAGGTGAGAAATGAAGACTTTTGGCCAGGTTATGTGATTTTTCTCCTGCAGAGAGTCAGCAGAAGCAGACAAAAAAAAAAATAATCTTACAACATCCTGGACCAGCGTCCTGCTGGCTGCTCAGTCCTGCCTGTGTGGGAGCAGCCACTGGGCACATTCAGGTGCTGTCCCGTGAGAAGGTCTCAAAGCCACCCCTGAGAGGCTCAGCTTGAGGAACAAAAAGGAATTTTATGAGCTCAACTGAACTTTCAGGAAGGAGAAAATGAGGGTTTAGAGCACCCTTTATCCCTCACTCTTGGAAGTTGAAGAAAAAGGCCTTTCTCCTCAAAGCAGTGTTCAAAGCCAGCCAGTAGGTCATGTTAGGTGACTGATGCTAAAAAAATTTTCTCGCCTGCTTTTTGGGGTTGGAGGTACATGGGACAAAGAGATGTGTTGGTGTTGAGAAGGGTTAATTTGTTGCAATTGAGATTTCTCCAGAAGGGCTGCAGTTTTGGGAACATTGACTTGAGAAGCAGATTAAGGCTACAGAAAGAGAAGCAGAGAGATGCATTAATTTGCCTCAGAATATCACAGTGTCTAGAGAATTAGTACACTTGTTATTCTCATGGGTTTTTATATATTCCAAATAAAAATACTTATCCCAAAACCGCAGTGGCACTCCTCCCCTCTCTGCCATTGCAATCTGAAAATGTTAAAAAAATCTCCAGATTCCCAGATGGCAAAATAACATCCTGGCTAGTTCTCTCCTCAGTGTATGTTGTTAATTTATTTGTTGTTCTAACCCAGTTATTTTTTCTTTTTCTTCTCTCTGGATGCCACAATTCTTTTGGTACTTCAGAAGTAAAGAATAAAGCCCTTCAGTCTTAAATATGAATAAAAGGAAAGTCCAGGCCTTTGCAGGGTGGGAGATAAATGTTATAAGAAGTCCTGCATCACAGCTTTGAGTTCAGTGTAAGCACCTTGTTCGATCTAAAGCTGTGAACAGACTGTAAATATTTCATTTTACTGTCTTTGCCTTATTTTTCTGCATTCCTCTGTCACTTCATATCTACTGATCTCAGTCTACTCCCTTACAAGTCATTTTGTTGTTTGCTTCCCAAAATCTGTGGTCATAAATGAACCTCAGCAACATTTTTTTTTTTTAGGGATTTCCTCATAGCTTGGTGTAGCAAGTCAGAAAGGCTGGTCAGGTCTGAGCTGCTCTCCAGCACGTCCCAGGGTACAGCCCTTCACCCAGTGCCACTCTGCTGAGTTTTGATTTCCCAAAGATTGCCAGCCTTCTGGGCAGCTCCTTCCAAACTTCTCCTCCTTGCCCTTCACCAGACCCTTCTCATCCTGTCCCACGCTGACCTCAGTTTGTCAAGCCCTTTGCTCTTCCCTCTCTCCCCACATCAGGATTTTCTTGTTTAGAGGCTCCTGCTCTTGCACCTGGTCAGTCTGGGTGCTCATCCTTTCTGAAAACCTTGCTCTCTCCTACCACTGGAAAATGAGAGGGGCATTTCTTTTCTTCCTCTTCCCCTGAATGATCCACCCTTTGCTTCAGAGCTCTCTGTGCTTTGCTTTGCTCTACTGTCTGCCCCATCCCATCCCTGTGAGTGGCTGAAAGATGTGTTCCCTCAGTGCCTAGGCTTTACTCTTCCCACTCTGCCTCTTCTGTGGGTCATTATTCCAGATTTCTTTATTCCAGACCAGGCTGGACAGGGCTTGAAGGAACCTGGTCTATCGGAAGGGATCCCTGCCCATGGCAGGGTGTTGGAACGAGATAACCTTTAACATCTCTTCCAAGCCAGACCTTCTGTGATTCTATGATTACTCCAAATTCCTTTATTCCAACACCTCCCTTCTATCAGATCATCCCTGTTTTTATTATTTCTATCTTTCATCCCTGCTTTTGTTATTTCTCTTCTTTCTCAAGGCTTGCCCAGCACCTCCTGGACCGGGTCCCTCCTTCCCCGCTGCCCCAGCATCCCTCTGCTCATCCTCAGTTCCATGCAGCAAAGGCAGGAATTGCTTCTCTCCAAAAAAAAAAAAAAAACAAAACAAACAAACAAAAAAAAAAACCCGAGGAGTTCTCCTCCTCTGATGGCTTTTCCTGCTCTCCCTGGCTTTAATTTGCAGCCAGCATTTCTCTGCAGAAGCGCTCATCCCTGGAGCTAACAACAGAGCCGTGCCTCGGTGTGTCAGAGGCAGGGAGGAGGGCGAGGGGGATGCAGCGGCGCAGCGCGCTGGCGGAGCCGGGCGGCAGCTGGGAGCCTGCTGGGGACACCGGGGAGACGTGAGCCCCTCAGCCGGGCCCAGCCCCATCCCATTGGCTCCCGAGCCGCCGGATTTAAAGGGAAGAGGAGCTGGGAGGGCTGAGCTGGGAGGGCTGAGCTGCGCAGGCAGACGCAGACTCAGCCAAGTTGTCAGCGCGCTGCGAGCGGGAGCGGCTCTCCAACACATTGATGCTCCTTTGGCTCCAGAAAGGAGAAAAGGAAGAGAGGACTGAAAAAGCAAAACAAACAAAAAAACCACACACAAAGGGGTGATCCAGAAGGAGCCTGATCCAGTCCAGCAGTCCCAGAGGGAATAATGGATGTGACCGTCTCTCAGTTCATCTTAGAAGAATTTGATGTGAACTGCAGCCTCCTGGATCGTTTGCACGAGACTTTTTTAGAGAGTTCCTCTATCCCTTTCCTGGGCTTTGATGGTAGGAGTTGTTACCTGGCGCAGAGCTCGGGAAAAGCTTCACGAGTGCTGAGATTCGGTTTGCTTTGTGATGCGAAGTGAGTGGCTTTTGTGCCTTCTCAACTGCTTCTTTTCCCCTTTCTGTCTCGTTTTTTTAACCCCAGGTCCGTACTGCAATGCCACCACGGACCAGATCGGGACCTGCTGGCCCAGAACCTCTGCGGGGGAACTCGTGGAGAGACCCTGCCCGGAGTTCTTCAATGGGATCAAGTACAACACCACGAGTAAGTACAAACTCCTTTCTTTTCCCGCAGAGCTCGCGTTCAGAAGGCACCTGGGGACACCCAAAATCTATTTTCATTACATAAAAAAAAAAAAAACAATAAAATAAAAAAAAAAGTTTGCTTGGGAACCAACATTTCCTCCACATTCCAGCATGTATATTCAAAATTTTTGCCTGGAATGATGCAGATTTCTCAAAAGCGCAGGCTTGTGGACGCTGTTTCCTCTTTGCTGAAGTACATTTAGGAAGATCCGGGCAGAAAATCTCCTCTGCAGTCTGAGGAGAGTTTATTGTGCTTTGTGTGTTTGTGCATGTGCAGCTGCCTACAGCTCAGTGTGTTTGTAGCAGTGCTTCACCCACCTGGATAATTAGACAACCTTTGGCTCACGGAACACTTAAATTCCTACCACCTCAACTGCATTTTGGCAAGTCAGTCCCTTTTCCAGGCTGGCTGTGTGAGCAGGGGTTCAAGCCCTGCTGGGAGTTGGATTAACAGGCAGAAAGGAGGCTGAGGGCTGCAATCTGTTTTAGCAACTTCATCAGGGACTGGCTGCTGGGGCTGGAGCTGCATCAGCTCTGCACAGGAGACAGGAGAGGAAATTGGAGGCAAATAATATTCAAAGCAAGGGAGCATGGGGGCTCCTTAGAAATCTCCTGGATGCTTTATTCTTCGAGGTAAACAATCATGATGACTCACTACAAATTTATTATTCAGGCTGTGGGATCCAGGCACTCATTTCCTTCTGCTTATCTGTCAATACCCTTTGGACCTTTCATTAAGAGTTTTAAAACATATTAATTCCAAATGTGTGCACCCACTTGTTTGTCACTCATTTTTTCAGTGTGGTTTTGACTGTAGGGATAATTTCATTCTATGCTTCACTCAGAACTTTTGCTTGGGTGTTGGTGATCTCACTTGCAGGTAGTGTTAATTTTGTGGGGCCAGTATTCTCCTTAAGTCCCATAAAAGAGTGACCCTGACATGTCAGATCTTATTTTTAAACTTGTAGAAAGTGAATTTATTCCTTCCCCAGCTCTAGGTATCATGGTCAGGTAACTGGCCAAAAGTTTGGTGCATTGGCCCTGAGAAACAAAGTCCTCTGTCAGATTAGTTATTAGGGACAGACTTTGAGCAGAGTAAAAGGTTGCCTCAGAGAACTGCAAAATCATCCTAAAGCCCTCTAATCTCAGACTTGGGTCTTTGCAATAAAATAGGAGGGAACTTGGAATGGGCTGGGTGATGCTGGCTTTGATTACAGCAGAGACTTCACTACTTGGACAAATCTCAGCTGAGACCAGAAGAAAATTTCTGAGAATTAAGGGCAGTGCGAACACAGTGGAAAGAATTTAAATGTTTTTTCCTGTAAATGAAAGAAAAAAAATATGGAATACCCCAGTTTGGTTTTTATAAACTCTGTTGATGCTTTCAGTAGTTCATCAATGACCTGATTTAAAGTTCTCTCCTTCTCAGTGGTGGCTGCTGCTTGTATTGCAGTGCTAATAACTTTCCTTAAATCCTTTGCTTTTAAAACAATGGCATGTTAATTAAACTAAAGACTGATGGAAATATGTTCTTGAAATGCTGAAGTATTATTTTCTGAGGAAATGGATATTTTTCTCCTTTCAACATAAAGTGTGAGTAACTACCTCCAGATGATCTCAGACACTTCCATGTGTGTAGTTCCTCCAAGTTGTAGTGCAGAAATTGGCGGGAAGGATTATATCAAAATCTGGTCAGCTTTTGGAATCAATAGCTCCTTGGGAAATAGCAGCTAAGTGATTAAAGCTAGGGAAAGCAGTAGGACAGCAGGCTAAGGTTTGAATACACAGGTGCAATCTCTTTTGGCATTTGAAAAATATAATTACTGTATGCAAAACACGTCCAGAATTTGGGAAAACCAAATATTAACACATTCTGACCACTTGCATGATTTCACCAAGTTGGTTTGTGGGCTGCCTCATTTGTGATGAGGCTGATTGTGCTGAAAACCTCAGCTGTGTTCCCCCTGCAGATGATAAAATGAGCACAGACAACTGATTAAAGAATGGGAAATGGATCTTGCAAATCTCAGAGGTGAATAATACAGCTCAAAATGAAGGTCTGATAGGAGATGGCTTGAATCAACATAAGATTTCTTCCTAGGGTATGTAGTTTTGTTCTATTTTGTTTTGCATTTTGATGAGACAGAGGGAGAAATGATGGTTTGTTATATTACACTGATTTTTTTTTTGAGAGCAAAATTAGACCAATTTAGAAAAATCACCTTCCATTGCCTTTCTTCTACTAAGAGCTTTTCCAGCTCTAGGGTGTAACTCAGCATTTATTATACTCTCAGGTATCCTACGTTCATGAGCTTCCACCTTTTAGGTGCTACAGCTTTTCTTTGCATTGATTTTATATATCTGTGAGTATATTTTGTATATCTGTCAGTATATTTCTCATTTGGGAGCCTGTAAAAAAATTGGATCCGTTTCGGTGATTTATTTTTCACTTTTAAAAATCAGGCTCTCAAAGATTCCAATTTCCCACCAATTTCCTAAAAGCAGCTCATCAGCTGGCGGGAATGAACCCAGCAGCATTCCCTGTCAAGGAAATCTTTTGCATTGTAGACACTGGCAAATCCAAACTGGGAAGTGCCCAAACTGTGTGAAAAGCTTTTGAAAAACTCAGAGAAGCACAAAGCACTGACCCATGGCTGAGTTTTGGTACTCGTGGGGCGGTTTCTGCACCTCACTGTAATCTCTGTGCATGTAGGAGATGGAATTCAAGACAAAAACAGACAGGTAGGTTCCTCCACACATCAGCTCATCAGAGGCTTTGGATGCACCTCCCCTGCTTTGTGTCCATCCTGTCACCTCTCAGGCTTTGATGTCCACTCTGACCCAGATGGGGAAGGCTATCAATGCCAGCAAATTCAATGAAAAAGCATTTGAGGATAAAAAACAAACAAAAAACAAAAAAAAAAAACACCACAAAAACACCAAATAAAACCCCAAACCCACCAACAAACCCTTAGAAAAAAGAGCTTGTGCTTAAAAAACCCCCCTCCTGTTTGCCATACTAGAATAAACTGTTGGTGTAAAATATTTCCATCCTAACTGCAAGAGATTCCCGTGGTGATTCTGTGCCTGGGTCTGTGTTTCTCTGTGTCTCCTGGGAGCTGCTGAGTAACTCAGATAAGTTTCAGCTGCATTTGTAAAACAAAGTCTGTCAGTCTGTGAAGATTTTTTATCCCTGACATTTTGTTATTTTGGGGATATGCTGGGGTTTTTTTCCCACCCTCTTTATTTGGGAAATAAAGTCATGTTGACAGATCACACTCACTCTGGTTACCCTGCAGTGTGAATATGGGCAAAATGCTCTTTGACCAAGGATCTGAAAATTATGCCATCCACTTACAGCTTTGTAGTTTTTATGTATTATTCTCAAAGGGGGAAAAATTAAAAGAAACAGGGAAAAAAAAGGTCTGTGTTGCTGCAGTGTGTGACTGTGCACTTGTCTCTCTCAGGTTCTATATTTAGTGAAAAATTACAATATCATTGCTGCCCTCTAGATGTGTTTATGCTTTGACAGTGTGAAGCTCTTAGTTTTGTTTTAGGAAACAGATTAATTCACTTATTAGGATATCCTGAGGCTTGATTAATTCAGCAAATGGCCTGTAATGAGTCTGGCTTTGCTGCTTGCTAAAAAGCAGCTGTTCAAGCACGTAGTTAGAGCGTGTTACAGGCTAAAGTATGATGCCTACATTAACACTTTCCCTACAGATTTCCTTGTGCAAAGTGAAAATCCAGGGTTCAATGTTCATCTACTGGAAAAGAAATGTTGACTTTTGTAACCTCAACCAAATTTTGTCCCAAGCCCCTGGCGTGGCAGGGTGTTCTGTGGTGACACCCATCCATCATGGGCTGCTCACTTTGCTCTGGGCTGCAGACAGGAGCTGCAGGCATTCAGAAGGTCTTTCAGATTAAAACCCACAAAGTGAGGTATTTCCAAGTAGTATTGACAACTAATTTAAGTATTTAAGCTCTAATACAAGTCAGAGCTCTAATTGACAGAAGGACTGAAGCCTAGGGAGTTACTGAGCTCAGCCTAAATGAGCAGCTCAGCTCAGCAGCCCCTGCAGAAGTGGCAGTACTGTTTGATATGCCAAGGGGTATTTTGTTGCTGTTTTAGGGGGCCCAGCCTTGTTGTAGTTTTGTGTTTCATCTCCCAGGCCACCCAGGTGTTGCAGATGCTCAGTGACAAATGATCCAATGCCCATGTTCAGGCAGCTGAGCTCATCCCTGGGCGTGTGTTGTGCTGAACTGATCCCGCACCTGAGGGTTGAGATCAAACTGCTTTTGCCATCAACAAAAGGTCTCTGTAGCTCCAACTCCCAGACTGCAAATCCCCCCCACCTCTCTCTCTCAGTGTAGGGAAGCTCTTTGACTGAAACAACCACTTCACAGGAGTGTTTTGGATATCATACCAAGCATCCTCCTCACCTTCTCCGGGGACCGTGCAGCTGAGAACAGGCACATAATCACTGCTAACCTTGCCCTGATGGGGACTGGGCTCCTGCATGTTCTGAGGGGGTGTGCATCACCTTTTCCTTGGCCCTACCACCAGCTACCTGCTGAAAAAGCTTTGGAGAGGGTTGGTGATTGAGCAACTGATGTGCTGGAGCTCACCTCTAGGTCAGGGGTGGCTCCGTGTGGTGGAAAAGCCTCTCCTCCAACCCATGCTTTCAAAAAAAGCTCAGTAGCCTTCTGTTGTCTGGTCGCAAGGCAGTTTATTGCAAGTTATCTAAAAGATTTTCTCCTCGGGCTGCTGTGGTTTGCTCACAGCTCAGGCAGAGGCACACACACACCCTGACATCCTCTCTGACTCCCGACTGCTTCTTCTCTCCCTGCCCAGGGCTGCTGCTGTCTTTTATATGGTACATTACGTGTGACATGGTTACAGTTTGTCCCCAATGCCTATTACCTATATTAAATGGTGCTTTTCTATCTTTTATATGG